TGTGCTTTCCTAGATGTTTTGAAATGGATTTGAAAAAGTGTGCAGCCCAGTTTACCTTAGTTTTGGTAATGAGAGAGTTGATGATGAAGGCTCTCTCCTGGGTGATGTCATCGGCATGACCTCCACTTCCACATTCGAGGCAGGCGATGACCAGTTCCAAAACCAACTTGTAATCGTTGTTTAGATCTGCTTTCTTCGCTGGACCAGAAGGAATTTGCCCAGAGATTCCAATAATGTTCCAGTCCAGATTTTTGGCTGGAAATTTCCCGATTTCAACTCCAGAATTGGGAAGGCGAAGCTTTTCTCCCAATTTCTTCTGTGAAAGCTTCACTTTCGTACCTCCAATAGTGGACTTGATGACCGAAAACGTCCTCTGTGGGTCCTTCTTTGAATGAGTAGTCTTGACCTCTCCATTTCTGTAGAATTCAAGAACTTCCTCGAATTTGAGGCGAATCTCCATTTGAAGAAATTCGGAGAGTTCTTGAGCGGCTATCATTTCCAGATAGCTTTGAAAGAATGTTGATGACGAGCACATGGCTTCTAACTTCTGGAAATGAATATTTGCTCCGACAACCTTCATTTTCTCAGAAATTTGAGTGAGAATCTGAAAAATCTGAAGAAAATTCTGAAGAAGACGACGAAAAATTTTGAATGGGCGGTTTAGATCTGAATAGTGGCGATTGGGTTTTATTTGAGCGATTTATGCGGCTAGTGGCGATTGGGTTTTTGACTATTCCCAAGGCCACGTGCCTATCCACTATATTGACAGACGTGGAAAGTGGACTGCCACGTGTACCGCACTCAGTCTAATTGAATTAGACCAATTTTGTGAAGCAAATCGGAAAACTTGGCTTCACTTAGTGGTTTTGTGAAGATATCCGCCAGTTGTTCTTCAGTTGAGATATACTCGATTTTGATATCTTTCTTTTCCACATGATCTCTGATGAAGTGATGCTTGACATCAATGTGCTTAGTGCGAGAATGATGCACTGGGTTTTGAGAGATGGCTATAGCACTTTGATTGTCACAAAAGATTGTCACTTCCTTTGTTTTGACTCCATAGTCTAGTAATTGTTGCTTTAGCCACAAAATCTGAGCACAACAACTACCAGCAGCAATGTACTCTGCTTCTGCTGTTGATGTAGAAATGGAGTTTTGTTTCTTACTGAACCAAGAAACAAGATTTCCACCAATGAATTGACAAG